CAGCAGCAGCAGCAGCAGCAGCAGGAGCAGGAGGGATGGCGGAGGGGAAGCGGCGGGAGGCGAAGCCTGCGTTCTGGCTGGTGGCGAGCAGCCTGCGGGAGAGCCAGACTGCGGAGTTGGTGCACTCGCAGGTGCGGAACGCGCTGGTGGGGGGCCGGGCGCCGCTGTGCGACGACGTGGGGCTGTTTGAAGTGCCGACGGGGCTGAAGTTCGGCTCCTTCGACGACTTGGTGCGCGCAGTGGACCTGCTGCAGCAGCAGGACTCTGCGGTGGAGGCTGCGCTGCGGCGGGTGGAGCGGCAGGCCTTGGAGCTGGACCCAGAGGCCCAGCTGAAGGTGGTCTGGCAGCGGCACTCCTTGTCAGTGGACCAGTACATAAGGAGGTTTAGTTGGGACGAGGCGAAGTTCCCGAAGGCCCGGGCCATTCGGGAGCACTTGGAGGCCATAGTGCAGTCCGTGGGGAAGCTGGAGGAGGAAGTCCGGGCCAAGGTGGCGGCCTGGCAGGCGGCGCGGGGGCCCTGTGGGGAAAATGGTCCACTGGTCTACTCCGAGCGGGAGCTGCGGGAGGTGCTCACCCCCGCAGTGGTCCAGCCGGGGGACTTCGTGGCCTCGGAGCTGGTGACCACCGCCGTGGCCTGCGTGCCTCTGGAGGCTGAGAGCCACTGGCTGAGCTGCTACGAGCGGCTGAGTCCCCTTGCTGCAGTCCCCAGATCAGCTAAGAAGCTGGGGCTGCCTCCAGACAGTGCTGGAGTCTGTCTCTGGAGAGTGGTGGTCTTCAAGAGGGGCCTGGAGGCCTTCAAGTCCGCTGCAGCGGCGCAGCACTTCGCCGTGCGGGAGTTCGCGTACAGCGCGCAGGCGGGGCGGCTGCTGCTGGAGCGTCGCTCGCGAGCGACGGCCGAGCGCTCGCAGCACGAGGCCTTCCTCGCTCGCGTCTGCTTCGCCGCCTTCTCCGACATCTTCGTCTCGTGGCTCCACCTGAAGGCCATGCGGGTCTTCTGCGACGCGCTGCTGCGCTTCGGAGTCCCCGCGAACTTCGTGGCTCTCTTTCTGCGGCCAACAGCCCCGCCAAGGCCGGCCAAGATCCACGCCCAGCTGCATGCGCTGTTGACTCCTCCGGGGCTTTTCGGAAACAGATTCTACGCAAGTCTGGACAAAGATAATAACGAGGCCGAAGACTTCTTCCCCTACGTCCTTCTCACGCTCCAGCCCTTCGCCACCTAGCTGCAGCAGCAGCAGCGGGGCTGCTGCTGCAGCAGCAGCAGCAGCAGCAGCGGGGGCGACGCTGCAGCAGCAGCAGCAGCAGCAGCAGCGGGGGCGACGCTGCTGCAGCAGCAGCAGCAGCAGCAGCAGTGGGGGGGCTGCTGCTGCTGCAGCGTTGGGGGGAGGGGGGAGGGCGCGTTTCGTTCGGGGGTCTGTACACCGGAGGGGGGCGAGGGCGCTGCTGCTTTTCTTGCTTTGCAGTCATTTCTTTCTTTCATTTCTTTCTTTCTGCAAATATCCAAAAGGCTCTTCATGTGCATTTGCGGGCTCGTTCTTTTTTTCGTGCAGCAAGGCCACCATGTGCTGGCAGCACGCCCCCAAGCAAGGAGCCCCGCTAGCTAGCTAGCTAGCCAGCTAGCTAGCTAGCTAGCTAGCTAGCTAGCTAGCTAGCTACAACCTCAGCTAGAGCCCCAGCTAGCACCAAGTGCACGCGCAGAGCACCGGCAGGCAGGCAGGGGTTTGAGCCCTTTCGCATTTTAACCAACATCAAGGCAGCCGCAGACAGCTGCAGCCGCTGCTGCTGCTGCTGCTGCTGCAGCAGCAGCAGCAGCAGCAGCAGCAGCAGCGGCTGCGGCAGCGGCCGGAGAACTCCAACTCGAATTTGCCCAGCGCGTTCACAGCAGGGATTCTTCCCCCAGATGAACCACTGGTCCTGTTCGCCGCTAGGGCCAGGCCAAGGAGCGCCGCTGCTGCTGCAGCAGCAGGCGGGAAAGCGGAAAGTGCTGCACGTGCTGCGCTGCAGCAGCTCTGCAGCAGCCCTGCAGCAGCTCTGCAGCAGCTCTGCACCAGCTGCGGCAGCAGGCTGGCGGCCCGCGAGAACAGTTGCAGCCAACTGCAAACCCAAAACTTCACCTTTATGCTTCAACCAGCAGCAAACCAGCAGCACAAATGAGAAGTTAACTCCGCTGCAGTCTAAGTACCACTAGAGTTTGGCTGCAGTCTTCGCCACTTGGGGGGCTTCTAGCCAGTCCCTTGCTTCTCTGAAGCGCTCAATTGTTTTAATAATAGAAGCTATGCAGATTTTCCCAAAAAATGCAGAAAATGCATTTTTAATTCATCACTTGCGGCCTGGCTGCCCGCGTTTCACCTGTGCTCCAGTGGCGGCGCTCCCGGCGCTCCGCACCGCCAGCAGCCTTTTCCGGAAGGAAAAGAAATTTTGAATTTTAGAAATTAATTTATTTGCAAACCTTTTTCCATAAACAAAAAGCATTTTTGAGTTTTAGAAATAATTATATTCGCAAAGAAAAAGCGGATTCGACACGCATCGGAAGATGCAGTTCAACTTGACCAGTGGGCAGCAGGTATGAACGCCGCTGGACCAGTCTGGTTGACGAAACATTGTTTCTTTGAGGAATCCTGTCTTTGCCTCAACTGCAAAGGCTTTTAAAAGCCATTTCTTCTGTTATTTTGGCGAAAATTCAAAGAACTGCCGCCCCAAAATGCTGCAGCACCACCCCCGCCACTCCTGTGGGCCGGGTCACCGCAGCCCAGCCGCTGAGCTTCTTGTTGCGAAGGGCCGTCGGCTGCGCCGGATTTTATTTCTTAAAACTAATTTTATTCATTGAAAACCACATTTTCATTTGTAATCTGCAAGTTCCTTCTCGTCTCCCGCACAAGTCGTTCGCCATGGAGTACCCCAAGCTGCTCGGTCCTTCACAGGGGGGTGTCTACACAATTCATCTTGGCACAAATGAAAACCGAATTGACTTCGAATTCATCCAAGACATTGAGCAGCTTCTAACAATAATAGGTGCGCGCCTGAAGAGGCCCCGCCCTGTTCAGATTCGCCAGCTTTCCTTTCCAAAAACTTGAACAATCTGCGTCTTTGATCTTCAGAGGCCAAAGACGGCCCTACAGCCTGCGTAATAACGGGCGAAGGAAAGTTCTTTAGCAACGGCCTCAATCTTGACGTTCTAATGGCGCAGCCGAAGGAGCTTTTGGGGTCTTTTCACTGCCGTGAGCTGAAACTTGAATTCCTTAGACCCTGATGCACATCTGGTCTTTGCAAGCCAAACAAGGACCAAATATGGTGCGAAATGCATTTATAAGGCTTTTTTAAAAGCTCGGAATCCCCATTATTCTCGTAGCCCTTAAAAATCCAGAAATGAAGGTCCGAAATTCACGTTTTTCAAGTTTCTGTGCTGCTCAACGCGCCTGCTGCTTCTCCGTCAGTTCTCAGCCGCCTGCTTACCTTTCCAGTTCCCCTCGTAGCAGCCATCAACGGCCACGCAGTAAGTCCATTACTGTTAAATAATATTAATTTCAGCAGCTTTCTCCCTCTCAGCGCCTCCGGGGCCCCCATCTTGTGGGCTTGAGCCCTCCCCGGCTCTCGCTGTGCTGCTCTGCAGTTTGCAGGAGGAGCCATGCTTGCCCTTGCTTGCGACTTTCGCGTCATGAACAGAAAAAGAGGCTTTTTGTGCATCAACGAAGTAGACAACGGGCTGCCTCTGACGCCAGGTGCGAGTTTGCAGCTTCCCCAGCAGCGCAGCAGCAGCAGCAGCAGCAGCAGCAGCAGCAGCCGGTCTGCTGCGCTGCAGCAAGCGAACCCGACCCATTTTGCTGCTTCTTGCGACGCAGGCATGTGCGCAATTGTTAAAAGCAAAATCGACAGAAGTTTGTGGGCCCCTACGATTCTGGGGGCCCGCAGATGGACTGGCGAAGACTGCCTTCGAAACCGCATAGTGGACGCGGCCTGCGAGCCAGGTAAGAACTTTCTTGCTGCTCTCTGAATTCAAACTTCGAAACAAATCTTTTGTTTTTGAAATTAATGCAAATTAGTGCGAAGTACTGCAGCATTAGTGGGGCAAGGAAGGGCTTTGGGCGTTCAAGTTCACAGCCCTCCCTGCGCTGCTGCTGGGACCTTCACTTCAAGCTGAAACAAGCCTTAAGTAGGAAGCAGCTGAAGAACTTGAAGAAATTGCTGTTTTTTGAGCTTAAAGGACTAAAAGCCACTCTATAACAGTGACAAATTCAAAGGATATTCTTCTCAAGCAGGCTTCTGCTGCTTCGGCTCCGTTTCCAGTAGCTGCTGATGCGCAGCCTCTGGCCACGCAGCAGCAGCAGCATTTCCGCATTTAGTCTTCTAAATGAGACTTATTTAGCCTTTTTGCAGCAGCAAAAAGCTATTTTGGGGGGAGATCGGGGGCTGGGCCGGTGTTTCTTGTGTGAAGGCGAAGTGCTGCAGCAAGCCCAAGCCTTGGCTGCTCGCGAAGCTCCCAGAGGAGCCAGCAAGCTTCTGTACAAGTGAGTGGATCAACAAAAGAAGAAAAAGACTTTTAAAGTTCATTAACTCCTCAGCTTTCCCTTCGCCTTCGCAAACCACTTCTGCTGCGCTGCAGCAGCTGCAGCAGCTGCAGCAGCTGCAGCAGCTGCAGCAGCTGCCGGGGCTCGCTGCAAAGCGCGTAGAAGGGAGATTCTTTTTATTCTTTCTTTAGTCTTTTTATTCTTTTTCAGGGGATTAAAAGAAGAAATGTTTGCTGAAGAAATAAAACTCCTGAGCTCGGGAGTTGGCGGCGTCATGCAAGTTGTTCCCCAAGTTGCAAAAGTCTCAAAAATGTGAAGTTGCGGAGTTCCCCTTTACGCGAAGTTCGAACACTCTGCAGCGCTTTTAGACTCTAGGCGCAGCAGCATGCAGCTTGCTGCAGCAGCAGCAGCTGCTGCTGCAGCAAGCTGCGCGCAAGGCACAGCCGCAGCAGCAGCAGCAGCTGCTGCTGCTGCTGCGAGGCGACAGAGCCGCTAGCAGAGCCCAGTTTTGAGGCTGAGAGATCTCTGCGTCGTCTGCGAGCTGCTGCAGCTTTTTGAAAAGCTGAATTGGAGCTAGCAGCAGCAGCGCCTGAAACAAGCTGGCTGCTGCTTCCTGCTGCTGCTGCTGCTGCTGCTGCTGCTGCTTCCTGCTGCTGCTGCAGCCCGCAGGGGCGCCTCCCGTCTTGTCTTTCGTTGCGACTCTTGTCTTCTCCGTTTCTCGCATTTGACAAGGGAAGCGAAACGCAGCAGCTGCAGCAGCTGCAGCAGCTACAGCTTGCTGCAGCAGCTGCAGCAAACTGCACAATGCCCTCCCGCTGCCTCTGGGCTGCGCTCCAGCAGCAAAAGAAAAGGTGAAGTTAATTAACTAACATTTCGTCTATTTTTATATTTGATCTTTTCTTCTCCAGCTGCATGCAGCGGCGCGCAGGCGAGCCAAAGCAGCCGCAGCAGTCAGTGCAGCAGCAGCAGCAGCAACAGCAGCAGCAACAGCAGCAGCCCTAGAGGAGCTGCTGCTGGGGAAGTCAGTGCAGCAGCAGCAGCAGCAGCAACAGCAGCAGCAGCAGCCCTAGAGGAGCTGCTGCTGGGGCCCTTCAGCAGCGCAGCTGCAGCCCGCCCTCGAGTAGCCTCAGCTAATTACTTCCAGCAGCAGCAGCAGCAGCAGCGGCAGCAGCAGCAGCAGTTCCTTTTTGCTAGAGGCTTCAGGGCCTCCTACTGAGGAAGGCCCTGCGAGCAGCAGCAAAGGGAAGCAGCAGCAAATCGAATTGCTGGGCTGCTGCAGCACTTTTGTCTTTTCGAGTTCTTTTTGCTGCTCCGCCGCTGCAGCACGCTCCTCTGGGGAGCTGCAGCAGCTGCTGCTAGCTGCTGAAACTTGCTGCTGCAGCTGGCTGCTGCAATGGGGCAAATGCAGCAGCTGCTGCTAGCTGCTGAAACTTGCTGCTGCTGCTGGCTGCTGCAATGGGGATTTGGCAGCCTCTGCTGCGTCTTCAGCAGCAGCTGCAGCACTCAAAAGCCCCACTGCAGCAAAACTTCGCCAGAGAAGCAGCAGCAGCTGGAAGCTGCAGCGCAGCCAAAGGCACTTCTGCTGCAGCACTCTGCAGCAGCAGCTCTAAGCTGAATGCTGTTTGCAAGATAATGGCGGATTATCAAATAAATCGACTTTGGGCCCATTCTTATGATAAAACATTCAAAAATTTTGCTAATTTAATTCCAAAAAGTATTTTAAAAAAGAACAAAGACGAAGCTGCGGCTGCACAGTGACTGCCATCCTGCGTCCATTGCAAGTTCTTCAGCAGCAAGCTGGGAAAGCAACTCCGAAGAAGTGCAAAACAGCAAAAAGAACTATTTAAAGTCCTCCGAAGAAGTGCAAAACAACAAAAAGAAGTAATTAAAGCCGGCGGCTGCTTGAAACTGAATGGATCTGCTGCTGCTGTCAGCTGTACATACACCTCGGCTGCGAGTTCGCCGCAGCTCGGCCGGCTGCTGCGCGATCTCGGGGCGGAAAAGCGGGAATTTTTGTGTCTTCTGCTTTCTTCGCAGCACTACGAGGAATTAAATTGAATTTAAATGGAAATAAGTGGATCTTTGGGGTCCGCAAGCAGCAAAATCCAGAGGTCGTCCCACAGCAAGTGTTGACATGCAGCCCCAGCCCCCGGTCGGACCAGCGGCCGCCTTCGCGGCTTCACCTCCGGAAGAGGAAAACTGCAAACAAAATGAAATGAATTTGCAAAAAAAGTCTTTTTTTGAGTTCAAAATTGGAAAGAAAAGACAAACTTTGGGTGTTTCCGAGCTCGCGTTTGCTGCTCCGCTCCCGATGCTCCCGCGAGCCCGCCTCTCCGCGCTGCAGCCGCCGCTTCCGCACAAAGCTTTGCAAAAAGAGTTTTTCAATTTCTGCAATTTTGCAAATTAGCAAATTTGTAAATTGCGAATTGGCTTTTGCGGCGCCGCGCTGCTGCTGCATCTTGCTGCGCGCCGCGGCAGCAGCAGCAGCAGCAGCAGGGTGTAGCTGGGTCGAAAAAGCGTCATTTTTCGCGGAAAAAAGCGCCTTTTGTCGGAAACTTTGGACTATTTGGAGTTGTTTTTCATTATTGGGATTATTTTGAAGTGTTTGGCGCGAAATGACGTTCGACAGGCACCGAAAAGAAGACCCCGCGCGGCCGCGGTACAGGTTCTTCCCCGGCCGCACGCGCAGCCAAACCCGGGCCATTTCCTGGGCCGCGCTTTGCTGCTGCAGCTTTTTGACTATTTTTTTTCTGAAGACTTTCGACCAAAACGAAGACAGACTCAAATCTTATTACCAGCGCCTCGCGCAGCACAACCCCCACACTGCAGCGCAGAACCAGGTCCTGCTGCTGCTGCTGCTGCTGCTGCTGCTGCTGCTGCTGCTGCTGCTGATGTGGTTGTGGTGGTGGTGCTGCTGCTGCTGATGGTGGTGGTGGTGGTGCTGCTGCTGCTGCTGATGGTGGTGGTGGTGGTGGTGCTGCTGCTGCTGCTGCTGATGGTGGTGGTGGTGGTGGTGGTGGTGGTGCTGCTGCTGCTGCTGCTGCTGCTGCTGTTGCTGCTGTTGGTGGTTGTGGTTGTGGTGGTGGTTGTGGTGGTGGTGGTTCTCTTGTTGCTGGTTCTGCTGTTGCTGTTGTTGTTGCTGCTGTTGCTGCTGCTGCTGCTGTTGTTGGCTCTTGTGTCCTGCTGCTGCTGCGCCCGTTGCTGCTGTTGCTGCTGTTATTGCTGCTGCTGGTGGTTCTCGTGTTCCTGCTGCTGCTGTTGCTGCCGCTGCTGCTGCAGCACGGTTTGGTGGGGGCAGCAGCGGCGAGCCGGGGGCTTCGAGCCGCAGCAGCAGCAGCTGCTGCTGCAGCAGGGTGTGGGGTGTGGGGTGTACGTACACTGCAGGTCGAGGCCCAAAACAGCAGATTGAAAGAACTTTTTTATAAAGCCAGAAGAGCAACTTTGAATCTTCCGGAGGGCCCCCGAGTGCCGTTGCGCATCTCAGAAGAAGACTCTCAAGAGTGAAGCTGCTGCTGCTGCTGCTGCAGCTGCTGGTGCTGGTTCCTGTGCGCGAACAGATTTTCGCGCCTTCTGCAGGGTTCCTGCTGCTGCTGTTTTGCTGCTGCTGCTCGCGTGGCTGCAGCAGCAGCTGCTGCTGCTTTCTCCTGGCTTAGCAGCAGCTCTTTTTTAGATTTATTCTTGAGGCCAGACTTGTGCTGCTTTGCTTTTTTTTCAACAGCAAAACTGCACAAGTTGTGCTGCAGCAGCAGCAGCAGCAGTAGCAGCAGCAGAGGCTGCTGCGGAAGTAGGCTGCTGCTGCTGCAGCAGCAGCAGTAGAGGCTGCTGCGGAAGTAGGCTGCTGCAGCAGCAGCAGCAGAGGCTGCTGCGGAAGCGGGCTGCTGCTGCTGCAGCTGCTGCTGCAGAAGCGGGGGAGCAGATCTAAACTCCAGTATGATTTTTAATTCAAATACTTTATATATAATATATTTATATAATAAATATATAATAATAATAAATATATAATATATAAATATAAATAAATAAATAAATAAATGAATAAATAAATAAATATATATATATAAATGCAATTTAAAGTAATATAATTCAAATGCAGCAAATATAAATTTGCCAGAATGGCGCAGGCAGATAGCAGCATTCGAAGCAACACAGCAGCAGCAGCAGCAACGCCAGCAGCGGCAGCAGCAGCAGCAGCAGCAGCAGCAGCTACTGCTGCTGCTGCAGCGTCTCGTGGCAGCAGCCGAGCGCTGCTGCTACAGCAGTGGAGCCTGCAGCTAGCAGTGGCGCAGCAGCGGCAGCAGCAGCAGCAGCAACAGCAGCAGCACCTGCTGCTGCTGCTGCTGCTTTAAGAAGGTCTGCGGCAGACTGCAGCAAAACGAAACTCTTGGCTTTCTGCTTCTCAGGCGGCGCTGTCCGCAAGAGAGCCCGAAGCGAGCTGCTGCAGCAGCAGTGGCAGCAGCAGCAGCACCGTTGCTGCTGCTGCTGCCGTGTTGTTGGCTGCTGCTGCTGCAGCAGCAGCACAGGTGCTGCCGTTGCTGCCGTGTTGCTGGCTGCTGCTGCAGCAGCAGCAGTGGCGCCCCCTCGCCCGCAGCTCTGCTGCTGCTTCCGGGCTCCTGCTGCAGCAGCAGCAGCAGCACAACGTAGAGAAGCAAACTGGAAAATCCTTATGCTGCTTCGCCAGTGCTGCAGCATTGTCGCTAGCTGCTGCCCACAGCAGCAGCAGCAGCAATGCCAGTTGCTGCTCTAGTGCCTGCTGCAGTATCTCTTCTGAAGAGGGTCACTAGCTTCCCGCTAATGTGCAGCAGCAGCAGCAGCAGCAGCAGCAGCAGCAGAAAGAGCCGTGGCACCAAAACGGTGTAGCTGGTGCTGCGGCTGCGTGGTTCGCCCTGTGGGTGCTGCTGCTGCTGCCTGGACTGCAGCAGCAGCAGCAGCAGCAGCAGAAGCAGCAGCAGAAGCAGGGTTGCTTTTGCGAGGCACCTCTTCATATCTAGCAGCAAACAAATGAGCTGCTGCTGCACAAGAATCGAACAGCAGCGGGAACTGCTGCACCTCTGCAGCAGAATCAGCGGCAGCTGCTGCTGTGGCAGCAGTGGCCCAATCTGCAGCAGCAGCAGCAGGAGGCAGCAGCAGCAGCAGCAGGAGGCAGCAGCAGCAGGCAACTTCAATGGAATTCACGTAAACAATGAAGCAGCAAAGTGCACACTGCAGCTGTGCTGCTGCAGCGCAGCATGGTGTGGATCAAGTGCCACTGTGGGGCCTCTAAAACGCCTTTTGCTGCTCCTTGAGAAGCACTTTGCTGCTGCTGCTGCTGCTGCTGCATTCCGGTGCGGAGCAGCAGCAGCAGCTTCTCCACGCCTGCTCTGCCCAGCAGCAGACAGCCGGCGGAGGCGCAGCAGCAAACCGAGCTGCAGCAGCAAACTGAGCAGCAGCGCCAGAATGTGCAGCAGCAGAAGACTGTGCAGCAGGAACAGCAGCAGCAGCAGCAGCAGCAGAATGTGCAGCAGCAGCAAAGACACCCCACGACGCGGCTTCTCGGGCTGCTGCAGCAGCAGGGCCCCCGCGCCGCAGCTCTCCTTCTTGAACAGCAAACGGCGATTTAAAATAAAGCAATTAAAACTAAATTATATATTTTGCCTTTTGAAGAGTTAATTGAATTAGAAGGAGCAGCAGAAAGGGCTGCGGGAGCAGCAGCCGCTGCAGCAGCCAGCGGCAGCATGCTTGAAACGGGAGCAGCAGGAGCAGCAGCAGCTGCTGCTGCTGCTGCTGCTGCTGCTGGGTGCAGGCGTCGGCGCCGGCCGTCGGTCCTTTGGGGATTTGCAAAAAGATTTATTTGAGGAGGAAAAAGGATTTTCGAGATCTTGAAAAAGTGGGTCTGTTCAGGTGTACGTGCACCTCAGCTCAGCTCTCTTGCAGGTGAGCCGCGAAGGCGTCTGGGGCGCGTCTCTTTGGGTCGTTGCTGCTGCTTTTTTGTGTTCTTTTAAGTTTTAATTCAATTAAAAGGACTTTTTGCGTTTTTTCCTTTCAAAATTAATCCTTTTTGAGCCCGCTGCCCCCCGCGCAGCTGTACGTACACCCCGCCGGGGTGCTCGGGGCGAAGGCTCCAGCTGCTCCCCCACTTGTTCTGGAGTGTGCGTTTGTCTTGCAGAGCTCCGAGGTCTCGGGTTTAGGGTTTAGGGTTTAGGGTTTAGGGTTTAGGGTTTAGGGTTTAGGGTTTAGGGTTCAAGATGCGGGCCCTCCTCAGCCGCGGGGCCGCCATCTGGGGCCGCCTCTCCCCGGCTGCCTCGCGCTGCAGCGTTCTCGCGCCCCGCAGCTTCGCCTCAGCAGCAGCAGCAGCTGCTGCTGCTGCGCCTGCTGCAGCAGCGGCCAAGGCCTCAGCAGCAGCAGCAGCAGCAGCAGCAGCAAGCGGGGCCCGCAAGGGCCCCACGGGCCGCATTGCCCAGGTAATTGGCGCTGTTGTTGACGTCGAGTTTGAGGGCCCTTTGCCTCCGATTTTGAATTCGCTGGAGGTGCAGTTGGAGCCGGAGGAGCAGCAGCAGCAGCAGCAGCAGGGGCAGCAGCAGCAGCAGCAGCAGCAGCAGCCGCAGCGGCTCGTGCTCGAAGTGGCGCAGCACTTGGGCGAAAATGTTGTCCGCACAATTGCCATGGATGCCACTGAGGGCCTCGTCAGGGGGCAGCCAGTCACAGACACAGGGGCCCCTATTCAAGTGAGTTGCTGCTGCTGCTGCTGCTGCTGCTGCTGCTGCTGCTGCTGCTGCTGCTGTTTCTGCGTGTGTTTCGCTGCTGCTGGTGCTCCAAGTGCTGCTGCTGTTGCTGTGGGTGGCGTTGCTGCCGTTGTCGCTTCTGCTGCTGCTGCTGCTGCTGCTGCTACGCGTGTCGCTGCTGCTGCAGCGCGTGGCGTTCGCGTTGCTGCTGCTGCTGCAGCGCGAGCGTGCTGCTGCTGCTGCTGCAGCAGTTCGGGGTCGCGGGGGGGCGTTGGGGGGCTCTTTCTGGAGCTCTTGCGCCGGAGAATGCAGCAGCAGCAAAATTAAATTCTCAAAATGCTTTTATTATTTTTATTATATATTTTATTTGCTGCTCAGGTTCCTGTGGGGCCGGAAACTTTGGGGAGAATCATGAATGTTCTGGGGGAGCCGATAGACGGCTGCGGGCCGATTCCCGCGCGGACCAAGTACTCGATCCACCGCGCGGCGCCGCCCTTCGCCGACATGGCCGGCGATCCAGGTTATTTTCCCCTTTTTTTTTGCTTTTTGGTTCTTTTTTGGAATTAAATTCACTTTTATTTCAGTTTTAAACACTTTCCGCGAAAATTCGACGCGTTTTGACCCGCTTTCGAGCCAGATCCGCCAGCTTTCCGCAAATTCAAGTTCCGCTTCGCGCGGCAGATGCAACGCGTTTTCAAGTTCTTCTTGAAATGTTTTTTGAAATTAATTTCATTTAAATAAATCCATTTAATTAATTTAATTTAATTTAATTAATTTAATTAATTTAATTGGACTCATTGGATTCGTTAGCTTCAGATTCGCTTCATTCCATTTCGTGCATTTCTTTGGAAATGTTTTTCCATTTGGTCCATTTTTGAGGTTTTTGTTGGACTCCATTTCGTTTTTGCAGTTCTTTGGAGTTATTTTGCAAATTCTTATTCAATTTGATTCACTTCTTTGGAATTACTTGACTTGAATTCATTTATTTGTTTTCCCGCGATGCATTTGGTGTTGTTCAACTTTTTCTCATTTCCTCTTTTGTGGATTTCAAACTGACATTCTTTTCTTCCCTTTAAGTTTATTATTTCGAATTCCTCCATTTAATTCCATTTACCTCCACGATCGCGCTCTAAATTGCTTCTCCCTCCCCGCAGTTCTGCTGCTGCAGCACCTGCTGCTGCTGCAGCACCTGCTGCTGCAGCACCCCCCCCGCTGCTGCTGCTGCTGCTGCTGCAGGAATGCTGGTGACTGGAATAAAGGTGGTGGACCTGATGTCTCCGTACGCGAAGGGGGGGAAGATCGGGCTCTTTGGAGGCGCTGGAGTCGGGAAGACAGTCTTGATAATGGAGTTGATAAACAACGTCGCGAAGAAGCACGGGGGCTTTTCGGTCTTCGCCGGAGTCGGCGAACGCACGCGCGAAGGCAACGACCTCTACCACGAAATGCTCCAAACCGGCGTCATCCGCCGCCGCCCCCTCCCTCCGCAGCAGCAGCAGCAGCAGCAGCAGCAGCAGCAGCAGCAGCAGGAGTATGACTTCACCGGAAGCAAGGCGGCGCTCGTTTACGGGCAAATGAATGAGCCTCCAGGAGCTAGAGCTCGAGTGGCTCTCACAGGACTTGCTGTTGCGGAATATTTCCGAGATGAAGAGCAGCAAAATGTACTTTTGTTCATCGACAACATCTACAGATTCACGCAGGCCGGCAGCGAGGTGTCTGCGCTGCTGGGGCGGATTCCCTCGGCCGTGGGCTACCAGCCCACGCTGGCAGCAGAACTGGGGCTGCTGCAGGAGCGGATTGCTGCAGCAGCAGCAGGATCGATAACTTCTGTTCAAGCTGTTTATGTCCCCGCAGATGACTTAACTGATCCAGCTCCAGCAGCAACTTTTTCGCACTTAGATGCCACAACAGTTCTTTCAAGGAAGATCAGCGAGCTGGGCATTTACCCCGCGGTGGACCCGCTCGACAGCAGCAGCAGGCTGCTGCAGCCTGCTGCTGTCGGGCAGCAGCACTATGCTGCAGCAAGACGCGCGCAGCAGCTGCTGCAGGAGTACTGCAGCTTGCAAGACATAATTGCAATTCTGGGCATTGAAGAACTCGGAGAAAAAGACAAGTTGACAGTCTCGAGGGCCAGAAAGCTGCAGCGCTTTCTCTCGCAGCCGTTTGCTGTCGCTGAGGTCTTCACCGGAAAACAGGGAAAATTCGTCGAAGTCGAAAACACTGTAAACGCCACGGAGTTTATTCTTTCGGGAAATGCTGATGAACTCCCAGAGGCCGCCTTCTATATGTGCGGAGGGCTCGAAGAAGTCAAGGAAAAAGCCCTCAAAATGGCGCAGCAAACCTCGTTCTAGCTGCTGCTGCAGCAGCAGCAGCAGCAGCAGCTGCAGCAGCAGTAGCAGCAGCAGTAGCGTGCTGCTCTAGTGGAATTAGAGAAACGGCTTTCTACATGTGCGGGGGGCTCGAAGAAGTCAAGGAAAAAGCTCTCAAAGTGGCACAGCAAACATTTTTCTAACTTGCTGCTGCTGCTGCAGCAGCAGCAGCAGCAGCAGCGGTAGCAGCAGCAGCTGTTGCTGTTGCTGTTGTCGGCCGCTTTCTACGTGTGCAGGGGGCTCGAAGGAGTCAAGGAAAATGGCACAGCAAACCTCGTTTTAACCTGCTGCTGCTGCAGCAGCAACAGCAGCAGCAGCAGTAGCAGCAGCAGCTGCAGCTGTTGTTGCTGCTGCTGTAGTCGGAATTATAGGAACTGCTTTCTGTTAAATGTGTGGAGGATTTGAAGAAGTCAAAGAGAAAGCACTCAAAATGGCCCAGCAATCCTCATTCTAACGCGCCGCTGCTGCTGCTGCTGCTGCTGCTGCTGCTGCAGCAGCGGGAAGGGGTGGCAGCAGCAGCAGGCAACTGTTGCTGCTGCTGCTTTCCGGGAAACAGCAGCAGGTCGGACGCGGAAGAACTTGAAACCTAATTTTATATTTGACAAAGAAAGAGAGGAAGAGAGACGCAAATTCAGCAGCAGCAAACTGCAGCAGCAGCAGCAAACTGCAGCAGCAGCAGCAGCAACTGCTGCAGGTGCGGTGGCGGCGGTGCAAATGAAATTAGTTTGGTGTTGAGTTGATGACAAATAAAGAAACAAAACAAAAAAGAAAATAAAGTTGTTTATTTAAATAATTTTATTTATTTATTTTAATTCATGAAACTTTTGTTTTGCTGCACTGATGCGACGCGCAGAGTGCAACGGGCGCCCGAGTTCTGAGGTGCACGTACACCCCCTTGCTGCTGCTGCACCAGTTGCTGCTGCAGCAATAGCTGCTGCTGCAGCAAATGCAGCAATAGCTGCTGCTGCAGCAAATGCAGCAATAGCTGCTGCTGCAGAAGGTGCTGCAGCAACTGCAGCAGCAGCTGCTGCTGCAGCAACTGCTGCCGCTGCAGTAACTGGCGCAGCACCTGCGGCAACTGCTGCTGCTGCAGCAACTGCTGCTGCTGCAGCAGCAAATTTGGTGCTGCTCGTTTAGAGATAAATGAATTGATGGACAAGCGAGTGAAGAAGTCCCCGAAAAGCTGCTGAATGCTGCTGGGCTATTATTGTCATTTAAATCATTTATTCATTTAATTCAATTGTCAAATTAATTAAAAATAAATAAATAAATAATTAATTAATTATTTATTTATTTAATTTATTTATTTATTTATTTTTCAAATGAGTCAGTTGAGGTCTGCTGCTGGCAGCTCGCAGCACCAGCGGCCAAAACGCGAAAACATGCTGCTGCTGCTGCGGCTGCTCCTGCTGCTGCTGCTGCTGGTGGTTTGCTGCAGCAGCACAGAAAGCCACACAAACACACCCGAAAACACCTTTCTAGGGTTTAGGGTTTAGAGCCACCGTGGCACAAAGAAGTAACCAAATGCCTTTCTCCTTACCTTCTTGCCGTGCTGCTGCTGCTGCTGCTGCTGCAGCTGCTGCTGCAGCGGCTGCTGCTGCTGCTGTATCCCGTTTGCTGCGCAGCTCGTCATCCGCATTGCTGCGTCAGCCCGCAGCGGGTCCTGCTGCTGCAGTTGCTGCTGCTGCTGCAGGGCCTGGCGCTGCTGCTGCTGCTGCTGCTGCAGGGCGTAGTTGCTGGGGAGCGTGGGGAGCCCCTTGAGGTCTGCTGCTGCAGCAGCCGCAGAGGCTGCTGCTGCTGCAGCAGCAGCAGCAGCAGCAGCAGGGCCCAAAACAGCGTACCGCAGGATTAAAAAACCATTTGTTTGCCCCTCTCTACTTATTACATCTACTCTCATTGGAATTTTTTCTTGCAAAGAAGAAAAATGAAGTTTTATAAATCCCGTGGCTTCCACGCGGCCCTGCACCTGTGGAGTGTACGTACACCCCAGCAGCAGCAGCAGCAGCAGCAGCAGCAGCAGCAGCAGCAGCAGCAGCAGCAGCAGCAGCAGAGCAGTAGCAGCGGCGCAGCAGTAGCAGCAGCACAGCAGCAGCACAAGTACTTCGATGTTGCGCGTTTGCCAGATAGGACTGCCAGCCATTGCTGCGTTGAAACCCTAAACCCTAAACCCTAAACCCTAAACCCTAAACCCTAAACCCTAAACCCTGAAATAAAACGATAGGACAGATCGAGACATTGAAGCAGAAGCAGCTAAATAGAGCAGCAGCAGCTACAGAAACAGCACCTAGACACCAGCGGCAGCCAGCAGCAGCAGCAACAGCAGCAGAAACAGCAGCAGCAGCAGCAGCAACAGCAGCAGCAACAGCAGCAGCAGCACCTCTTCGTTGACGGTGATGTGTAAGAACTCTTCGCCGCTCCACACGAAGCGCAATTTCTCTGAAAACAAAAATAAAAATAGATAAATAAATAAATAAAAGAATAAATAAATAAATAAATAATAAATAATAAACATTTAATAATAAGAGTTAATAAATAAACAAATAAAAAAGCAGCAAGGCGCACCTCCTTTGAAGTCTACGAAGCCCTGGGGTGTATATCCACCTTGTGCTGCTGCTGCTGCAGCAGCAGCAGCAGCAGCAGCAGCAGCAGCGGGGTTTTGGAAGTAAGGCCTCGTCCAATTGGTATTAATTTGCACACTTTTGTCTTTGTTGGATCCGAGAAAACAAGAAAGAGAAACCGAAGAAGAAAAGTCGCAGAGACAGAAGCTGTCCAGACACTCCAGCTGCAGCTCCGCCACCTGCAGCAGCAGCAGCAGCAGCAGCAGCAGCAGCAGCAGCAGCAGCAGCAGCAGCAGCAGCAGCAATTGGTTGCTTAAACCCCGCGTTTTAACGAGTCGTTTGAATTGGTCATTTTAATTAATTGCATTTGCTGCTGCTATTCTTCCTTTTTGCAGTTTGCTGCTGCCCCTTTAGTGCCTTTTTGCTGCTGCTCTTTTGCTGCTGCTCTTTTGCTGCTGCTCTTTTGCTGCTGCTCTTTTGCTGTTGCTCTCTGCAACTTGCTGCTTCCCCTTTACATGCCCTCAGCTGCTAAGCCCAGCCCCTGCCTGCTCAGCTACCAGCTTTCGCTGCTGCTGCTGCTGCTGTTGCTGCTGCTGCTGTTGCTGCTGCTGCTGCTGTTGCTGCTGCTGCTGCTGCTGTTGCTGCTGTTGCTGCTGCTGCTGCTGCCGCTGCTGCTGTTGCTGCTGCTGCTGCTTTATTTGTTCATCTAGAGATTGAAAGACGGATTTAATTAATTTAAAAGTAATTAAAATTAAATAAAAATTAAAAATCTCAATTTGCTGCTTTGCTGCTCGCCTGTGGACAGACACCCGAAGGGCCATGCGATAGCGCGACGGCGGCAGCTGAGAAAAAACAAAAAGAAATAAATTAAATTAAATTAAATTAAATTAATTAAATTAAATTAAATTAAATTAATTAAATAAAATTAATCAAATTAAATTAATTAAATTAAATTAAACTAGTTGAATTAAATTAATATCATTTTATTGAATAGAGGGGCATGAGGAGGTGTAAATGGACCGCTGCAGCAGCAGCAGCAGCAGCAGCAACAGCAGCAGAGCAATCTTCAGAAGCAGATGTCGCGGCAGCAGCAACAAAATCCATAGAAACAGCAGCAGCAAGAGATGCAGCAGCAGCAGCAGCAGCAACAGCTGCAGCAGCAGAAAGAAGCGAGCGGTACATTAACAGCAGCAGCAGCAGCGTAAAATACAGCAGCAGCAACGGCGAACGAAGCAGCAGCAGCAAAGGCGCAGCAAAAAGAGCTGCTGCAGCAGCAAACCCTTCGCCTCACATGTTTTGCTCTCGCTGCCATGTGCAGCAGCAGCAGCAGCAGCAGCAGCAGCAGCAGCAGGCTGCACGCCCATGGAATTCATAAGGCTTGAGCTGCTGTCCATAAAGAAAGTGCTGCTGTTAGCTGCTGCATAGGAGGGGCCCCCTGGCTCAGCAGCAGCAGCAGCAGCAGCAGCAGCAGGAAAGGA